CTTTTTTTGGATTGAGTTTATCGCGTTTATTATGCACAATTCCTGGTTTTCCAGGAAAGTTTGGTTGGGTGAGCAGTGACTCTCCCCAGTTGACATTGCCGCTTCTGGGGGTTCCAGAAGGGGTTCTTGGAGTGAAAACTCCATGCTCACTTTGTTTAGGCGAGGCTGTTGTGGAGTGTGCTTCCCTTTCATAGAGGGGTCTGTTTGCTGGTTTTTCCTTACTTTTCCCTCAGCGAACTCCCTCATTTCGGTTCGCCTCCTCTTCATTATCTCGGAGACCTCCTCTGAGGTTGGTGACCTTGCCTTGTCTGGCATGGCATGGGGTAGTGTGAACAGCGGAAGTTCTTTTGGAGCTTCCATGCTCTGGGAGATCCTGCTCTCAGGGCATTTTTTCGTGCCTTCTCAGGCAGCCTGAGAAGAAGTTGGTCTTCATTTTCCATCCTCCATTCGGACGGAACCTGGAACAAGTCCAGTAGTTTTTTGGATAGCTGACGCAGAGGCTCTTCCCTTTGTTTCCCTTTGTCTGCCTTTGGGGCTTGACTTGGGGACCTGGGGGAGGACTCCAGGGGATAGTGGGGCCCTGGAGTTTCCTGCGACTCTATCTGATCAGCTTTTTGGGCTGATCGTTCGGCGCTTACATGTTTATCGCACAAGTCGATCACCTCCTGAGGAGGTGAGGGATCTTCCCCAGCTTGGGTTAGATCGATGTGACATGGAGTTCTAGGGGTATTGGGCCCCACACTTACTCCATGTAAGTTTCTAAAACCTTCAGGGGACAGCCCTGAGGTGGTTGCTTTTACCGGATCATGTTGATCCTCATCATCTGACGATGGCTGTTGATTTGAATCTCCCATGATGGGAGATTGCAGTTTCTTAATGAACCACTCGTTTCTTTTAACATCGCTGCAGATGCGACCTTGCCCTTGTGGGTGTGTTTAGGTGCCATTGGTGCTACTGAGTCAAATTGTTAAGATGTTAAGTTTTGTGGGTTGTGTTGTAAAACACACCTCATACACTTAAAAAAGTGTGAGGTCTCAGTGGGCAGCTCAGCACACAGAGCTGTAAGTGATACAATGGTGTGTATTTTACGGTGGTGTGTAAGCAGTTACCTGGAGGTTACCGCTTACCCACGTGACTATATGTATCTTAATTACATATGGCTCAGGGTTCAGTAATGCAGACACGAAAGGTATGCCAGTTACGTGTTTTTCCCAATCTTGGGAATACCCCCCCAATTCAATTGGAGAATGCCACAGGCTTCGGCAGTTGCCTTGCCCATATTTGGCAACATTACCCATTTCCCTGCACAATCATGACTTGTGCCATGAAATAGTATGGTCACATTTTTCATCATTCATTGCCAAGCTTCCCTCCCCACTATTCCCCAACCCAACCCAGCTATAGGCTGAAGGCTATTACCCAGCCTAACCCAGCTCCAAACTCCAAATTGGTCTCGTTTTTGAACCAAAACAAACTTTTGAGGTGGCACAGTGTCATTGGCTCCCTTTGCTGTCAATGATACATTGGGCTTCAACCCATGTATTTACCACTATTTCTACCACACATCAATATCATGCTTAGTTCCGCTGCTGATCATCAGCAAAAGTCCGTTATGCTCCAGAGCATCAAGAGTGGCTGGAGCATGTGGGAGACAAAACAGCAGATTGGGCACTCCTGGAGCCAATAGTGTTCTCCTGGGAGGGGGTTCAGGAGCAGCTGGGAGTGGTGAGGAGTATGTAATGTGCCTGGAGCAGTGGGAGGAAAATTTTGGTCTCTAAAAAGTTGAAAAAAAAAAAATTAGGGAAAAAATCAAAGAAAAATCAGGAACTATAGTGCCTTTAAAGTGCTTTCAGGACATATAATTATTTGTGAAATTGAGGAAGAAATGATGGAGAAAAATGGAAAATGCTTTCGGAGACCCAAGAAGTAATGAGAACTGAATTGATGGGAAAGTCTGAAAATTGAATAGGAAAGTGAGGTAGATTGTTATTTTCTGCTGTTCTGATTTTTCCTGATTGTTCTTGGTCTCACTCCCAGCTGCTCCTGGACCCTCCCAGGAGCTTCCAGGAGTATTGAGGAGCAGCTGGGAATGAGACCAAGAAGAATTGGGAAAAATCAGAACAGCAGAAAATAACAATGCTACAAGGCTTCCCCTCACTTTCCTATTCAATTTTCAGACTTTCCCATCAATTCAGTTCTTGGGTCTCCAAAAGTATTTTCCATTAGCTGCTCCTGGACCCTCCCAGGAGCTTCCAGGAGTATCCAGGGGTATCCAGTAGCAGCTGGGAGTGAGACCAAGAACAATCAGGAAAAATTAGAACAGCAGAAAATAACAATGCTACAAGGCTTCCCCTCACTTCCCTATTCAATTTCCAGACTTTCCCATCAATTCAGTTCTCATTATTTCTCGGGTCTCCAAAAGTATTTTCCATTTTTCTCCATCATTTCTTCCTCGATTTTGCAAATAATTATATATCCTGAAAGCACTTCAAAGGCACTACAGTTCCTGAATTTTTTTTGATTTTTCCCTAATTATTTTTTTCAACTTTTTAGAAGTCCCTATTTTTCAAATTTTCCTCATTTCCCTCTATATCCCCCCCTCATTCCCCCCCTCATTCCCCCCTCATTCCCCCCCCTCATTCCCCCCCCTCATTCTCCCCCTCATTCTCCCCTCATTCTCCCCCTCATTTCCCCCTCATTTCCCCCCCTCATTCTCCCCCATTTCCCCCTCCCCCATATTCTACCAGCCCGAAAGTGATTAAGTTGCCAGATTAATCATATATCAGGCCATAAATTTTGATTGTGTATTGGTGAGTCTCAGTGTCCTTGATATATAGTATAGTGTTTGATCTAAATGTTAAGCAGTGTCTTGTTGTGTTAGTCTTGTGGTAGAAGGTATTCATGGGGGATCTTCCCTCTTTTTTTCCTTTTCATTTTCAAATGCTCCAGGAGCTCCCAGAAGCTTCTCACCCCTATACACTTTGAAGCATTTAAATTGTATTTACTGGATATGTTTGTGCACAAAGCAATGCTCCAGGCCCTCCTGGGAGTGCCCTGGAGTACCTAGCCAACTCCGGAGGAAATGGGCTGTTCCTGGACCGGCCAATCTCCTCCTGATTCTCCCAGTGCTCTCGATACTCCGGAGCACTCAGGAGCATAACAATTTTTTGCTGATGATAACTAGGGAGATGTTAAATTATAATCAGTCGCATTCGATGGAATGGGACAAGGTATCAACTAGGTGGGAATAACTCTGGGCTCATTAAATGGGTTGGGTTCAGATAATAGGGAGGGGACACTCCGCAAGCATCAGTTGGTTCACATCAGGAAATTGTCGCAGTCAACTTTGGACACTTCTGATGATCCTGTTGCTTCTAATACAATGAAACTGGCCGAATTGACCAATTTCCCAAAGCATTTTAGTAAAGGTGTCACGTTTCAATTCAGTTCAGCAGTGAACTCAATTGTTTTCAAACCATTTGAAGTGAAACCCTGAGGACCTTTTGCTGATGCAGGGTTTTGACATAACAAGCATTGCCCCATTGGCCAGACCCACAAACATGACCCCAATAGCCTACTTACTTGAATTTGGTCACCCCAATGTTGTTTTAGACCTTGCATGTAAGTACATGAAGTTACATGTCCGGGCCCCCCCCGGCATACCTTTCAACCGGGAAATGCCGACACCCCCTTGCGTCCTGTTCCCATACAAAAGAGGCCTCTGGACCCTCTTTGAACATCCTGAGAACCCCTCTCTATATGCCTGGATATCAGTTGTCCAAGGTGCCGAGTGAACCGCTGAAGCGGGTTGCCATATTTGGAACGCCGCGTTTACAACAACGTTCGCTTATATATTTCCCTGTAAGATATTGGGTACTTGCACAAATCAAGAAGCACAAGTCGAGCTGCCTGGTGTGTAAAGCTCGCTCTATATATGACGACCGACAAATTACAAAAGAAACCAAGTCACAAGTCGCCAAGAAGCAAAAGCTACAGCGTTTTCATCTTCATGTGGCCACAAACCATGCTCGCATCAAGCGTAAACTTGAACAGGCACGACATCGTGCACCTCGATTCTAGACGAGTCCTCAGAGTCAACAGCCAAAACCTTGGTCACTCCCTCGGCTACACCCAATCCCAATTCAACATCCCTCTTAACATCCCACACCTCCCCTTTCACGGCCCACCTCAAAGCCCTCTCCAAATCAACTAACAAGTCCTCCTTATCTTCAACGCCTATGCTCAATCTGATGAGCCCTGAACTAATGCCCAATTTCTCCCTCGTCTCAACGGGTATACCCGCATGAGTCATCAAAGCTGGGAGTTCAGCAAGCGATTCGACTCCGCCCAATGACTCGGCCAGCGAGAAGAGGTGAGTGGACGTGAGGAAGCGGGATGCAGTCGAGGTAGGTTCAGAAGCTTCGGCGGGTGAAAGGATAGATGAAGGAGCGGAGGCGATCTTGAATGAGACCATTCCACTGAATGGGATCCCCTCCAGCCCATCATCACGACCGGACCACGTCCCGCCTTCGATCCATTTACGTGCGTGAGGTGAGAGAAGCGTGTCACGAACGAGTTTGTACACTCGTTCGTTATTTTCGACTCGCCGGGATGCTGTAGATTTTAACCCCGGATAGATGACCCAGTCTACAAGTCCTAATTCCTTTCCTCGGGTTGAAAGCCAACGCGCAACGGCTAAGGCGTTCTCACCGTGGGCTATCATTCGAAGGGCAAGTGTTTTAACTCCACGTTGTGCGAGCCAACTGTCGTAGGCGCTTGGCACAGCTCCGATAGCATTTTGAAGGAAGTGAAGTTTAGATTCCAATGTAGCTGCAAGTGGTTTAGGATTAGGGTATTCGGTAGATGTGTGTGGAAGAGGGAGAACGACTGCTCCCATGAGGACATCTGAATGACCGTTGACGTATTTTGTGACCGAGTGTAAGACGACGTCTGCGCCGAGAAGGAAAGGGGAAGAGTAGAAAGGAGATAGGAAGGTATTATCTACTATGACGAGTGGACGAGAAGGATGAGAATTAGCGATGCGAACGATTCGGGGTATGTCACTAATGCGAAGCGTGGGATTAGTTGGGCTTTCAACCCAAATTAGCTTTGTATTATCTTGAATGGCGTCATATACTTCGCATCACGAGCTGATTCGAGGTCGATGAAAGTAGTAGCGAGGTTTTGAATGACATTTGCGACCCGGGTGAAATACCGGGCAGTACCGCCATAAACATCATTGACGGATAGAATGTGGGAATTAGGACCTGCAGCTGTCACAAGCAGCGCGGTGGCACTAGACCCAGAAGCCACTGCTATGGCAGTATGACCCCCTGCTTCGATTTGAGCTTCGAAGCTACGGCGATTTGGGTTGTCAGAGCGAGTGTATTCGAATCCCTAGATGCCCCGATGTCCAAATATGGGAAGGCAAGGGGGTTATGTTTCCGAAAGATCGGTAAGAAGTCCGATGAGTGAAGAGTAAGGATTAAGAACAGGATATACCTTGTGAACGCCTATGGCATCTTGTTTGTATGTGGTGCTAAGAGAGATGGCAAGGATGACAGCACCAGTCTCGCCACTAGGTTCGGAGCCTACATGGATTGCACGAGTGGAGAATCCAGCTGTCGAGGCATCGAAGTCTATTATTGGTGATAAAAAACATAAGGAATGATCCGTCCAGGGTAGGAGAGGTGGATACAGACGATCTTCAGCAGATACAACAGAAACTGTATCGGATGGCGTTGAGGTTGGATATCAGGCTGTAGACCGGAGACGATGATGAAAAAGATATTATATCTAAAAGGATATACTGGAAGGAGAGAGGAAGGAGATATGGCGCCTTCTTTTATGGGGATTGAGGAATACCCTTAGGATTAACGATTGCGTGTAATTTCGTTTTTTCGTCCTTTCTCAGCACGGACTGAATGGACTGAATAGCGAGAAAGGCTCGTGATTTTATGTACAAGCGTTTATGTAACATACCTCATACTGGTCTGCCATTGAACCATTTCGAGAACCCCTGCCCTTGGCGCTCTCACGAGCAGCCTGTAGTCTGCAGGATAAATATCCAGAACTACGTACACACACCATGAAACCATGAACCCAACTCTTCTTGGTCTACATATCACTATCCTAGGAAGAGTGGCGCTTCGATGAATGATGAATGAAGATGCATCACATCTCACCGCACTCGCGACACGATAACTCTCATTCATCACGCACGCGTCATCGACTACTTGAGCTCACTCGTCGCGTCCCCTCGCCCTAAACAAGTAATAAGGTAGTAGCGGGAGGAGCCGCATCAGCGAAAGCACTCGTCCTTCCGTGCCATCACGTCATCTTTGGGTCTGATTCCATTCATGCCTTCCGTGATATCCCCGTCGGTAAATTATTTATATCCATAATCTCACCGCCGCGCGCGCTCCCTCACTCAGGCTTAATTCTGGCCTCTCCCAGCTACACGGCAATGACTGCAACCGTGTATACATACACCATCTATCTCATCTTTGACTACTTCTCCCCGTAAATCATCCATTTCCACGTTCGACAAGTCGGATCGAGACAGAATGACGTGGACGTGGACGATCAGTGGATGGGTCTTTGGGTCTTGCATTTCATCAAGGTGGGTATCGATCGACTCAGAACGATCATGTCGTTCTTCTTCTCTCCTTCTCACCTCCTATATATTCGCGCTACACACCATCTACATCCACATCTTCCCCAGCATCTTCATATTTCATGTCTGCTTCTACCACCCAGTTTGAACGGCCCCGGCGCATGGATGTATGGGGGAACGGCTTCGCCTGAAATTGCATTGCCCACTTACTTGCTCCCTGATCCCGCCTCCCCTTTTACTACTACTTTCCATGACGAAGAAGAGGAGACTATACTAGGGCACCACCATTCATCTCATCCATCGACTACTACTGCCAAGGCTCAAGGTAATAGGCGGACGTCAATGATCCGTCTCGCCCGGCAGAACTTGGGTCCTTGATCTCGATGAGGAGGGGAATTCGATGGGTTTGGGAGTGATGTTGAACACCAGGCACAGCAGGCGTGAGTTATTGTTTCTTTTATTTTCCGTGATATTCTACTTCGCCTCTCCCTACTTCGTAATCACTTAAATCGACATATTCAAACCATCTCTTTTCGATTTTAGATCAAGCTCTGCAGAGTCTGCACGGAAACGGTGGGATCTGTTTTCTGTGCGAGTTCATTTGGGCGTTTTCCACGCGAAGAAACGACTTTCCAATCTAAAGCAGGGCGGTTCTTCTGTGTCATCGTCATCAACTTCTACTGCATCTCCGACGATACCTAGCTCGAATCCGGCAGGGCTGCGGTCGCCCAAGTTAGCACCTAGTTTTCATGTCTCCTCCATCCAAGTTACTTCATTTCTAGAAGGGAGATCTCGTAAAGATGCCTATCATACCCTGCGAGCTGACTTCAAGGATGTTGACTACTAATCGCGTCGTATCTTATCGATTTTCGATGGGATATTGTATCGATCCATCTTTGACTTTTCGACCCTCAATCCCTTATCTCTTTTTCTCTTTCCATGGAGGTATGGCATGGATTTTATGCAATCTCTCGCCCTGAAGTCCTTCATATATTGCATCACGACACCGCACCCACGAAGCAAGAGCATGAACATTACGACAAGCACGAACGGCATTGTATTATCAAGCTCAAAATTCCTAAATTACTGTATTACTAGCAGATGAGCTCGTCCTTCGTTCTCCGGTTGCGTGTCCACTGCGCAACATCTGCACTGTATCATTAATGTTCCTCCGCAACAGACTGTGGAGGGAAAACCCTCATCACTTTCCCCTCGCGTTTCCCTTCCACTCGTCAGAGATGCGGGTATTATCCATCCGAGGATCCTTCCTCTCGCTTTATATTCGAGTTCGTCTTACAATTCGACTCTATTGTATCTTTCTTCTCAACCCATAGGTTCGTTTGTCTATCATGACTTCTCTAAAGCGGTTTCCTTCCCGTCGCACTTGATGCCGTCTCTTCTATGCTTCCGGAATCTGACCTAGTTGCCCTTCTCTCCCTTTTCATTCCCCTCCGTATTTGTTAATCTGTTGGAGTTGTTCACTGGTGTGTGGGTCACTCGAAATTGTTTTTCCTTGACGAGTCGAGTGTATACCCACCGCCACTGGTTTTAGTTTATTTGGATTGGAATGCTCAATGGAATCTACTTTGGATACCCCAACGATTAGTCGCTTTTGTCTAACTGATCACGATGAGAGAGCCGCAGAAGTCATGCACACTCACTTGGATATGAATGATAAGGAGGTTGTATTCAGAGGGAGCCCGGGTGTGAGTGTGGTGACTCTGAGAATGGTTTGTGGGTATGCGCGGATGTGGGGGGAGACATTGTGGATGAACAGGCAATATGCCTGCGCACGACGTCAGAGGACCAGGGATAGCGCGTGAGATCCAAGACGATAGGGTGATGATGTCAGTCCCTAATCGTGATGTGGTGCATGGGGCAAGCGGCGGAGCGGCACCGCTGCTCGGCCCTATGATGACGTCCATGACGCAATCCATGACAGGAAAATTAGGTGATCGTGCATGGGCGCCGCTCTCTCGGCCATACCGTTAAGTGGAGTGGACATGGTGAACGTTGTCAGACGGTGCAATTAGCGCGCCTGCGAGCGGATTGGAACCAGGTTAAGCAGTAGCGACCAGGATTGGTTCGAATCATGAAACGTCGACCGCAAATGTGACGTGTCTGGTGTTGGCGTGAAAATGCAGACGCGGACTTCGGAGACCAGAGAAAGATGGCTTTGGTGAGTAATATTCCCTCTGAAGCAGACGGCGCAACCGCCCGATGGATCCCCCAGCTAGTCATCATTCCGCAACTTCTATGTGCTTCTTTGTCATCGCACTTGGGTATTGTGGGAAGCTAGCATGAATATGTGAGGAAGATCGGGAGGCGATCTTTGTATAGAGAGAACCAAGTTGAGGGCGGCTGGACGAGAATATAGTGGACTCTTAATTAGGAAGGTATTACCACTAAACAATAGTAAATACATGCTTCGAGGTTGTTCCTCCAACACACCCTCTCAAACGAAAGAACATGTAACCATCTAACATGAATCCATGATATAATGAAACCGGTGTGAAGAAATTGACTGAAAAAGAATGGAATAAAATTGAATGGGAATGGAGTGGTGAAGGGAATGTGGAAAGGTGAAATCCAATGGATGCGTGATCAAGGGTGCTAGTCCAATAATCAATGGTGATTGGTTGTCTTCCAAATCTGAGTGGATGCCATGCCAGGCAGTCGGTGGGGTGAGCCTTCTCAGCAATCCCGGGTGTCCAACTTGTCCAAAGTGTGCATGAGAATTAATACGATATTTGAAAGGGGGGGATCACCCTCTGAATCCACAGTGTTCCATGGTAAGGCAGTAAGGGAGTGGCCCCAATGGCCTGCTGGTGCCAGCTGCAAGGTGGGATTGGGTTGCTGCCTTTGAGCGCGCGCGATTGGACCGTGGGAAAATGAAAAAATGGTGACGTGGCAAGGAAGGGAAGGGAAATAAGAGTGTTGCATGCCTGTCTGAGGACTTAGAGCAAGGAGAGAAGGGGTGCCAAGTCCGACCTTAAAGATGGGCGCCAGACTGGACTTGCGGGCCCAACACAAAACTTGAATGCCACACACCGGCCTTAACAGTGGGCGCCGGGTTGGACTTTCGAGCCCAAACAAACTTGAATAATTGCCACACACTGGCCTTAATAGTGGGCGCCAGGCTGGACTTCCGTGCCCAAAGACAAACTTGAAGGATGCCGCGCACCGGCCTTAACAGTGGGCACTGGGCTGGACTTTAGTGCCCCAAAACAATGCCGTGTAGGACTTAAAAGGATGCCTGGTGTACAGGACTTAACAAATGCCACATGGGACTTAAGATACGGGGGATTGCCCCTGCCTCCGCTGAGGACTTATGAAGGTGGTCAACTGCACTTTGACCAACTGCCGCGAGAGTCGGGCGGACTTCCTTGATACCTAAGCTTGTCCAGGCGAGCCACCTGGGCTCATAACCTATAGAGAGAACCAAGTTGAGGGCGGCTGGACGAGAATATAGTGGACTCTTAATTAGGAAGGTATTACCACTAAACAATAGTAAATACATGCTTCGAGGTTGTTCCTCCAACACTTTGCATGGCAGGAGTCTGTGCACATTCCGTCCGGTCGCCATTCAAAGCCACAGTCTGTCCCTAAACCCAAGCTACAGAGTACGGGATTGTATTTTATGCATGCATTGGCTCATGTAGACCGTCGGGATGGGCGCTTGTGTTCATGCGAAGAACTTCCTGTTTGAGGCTCCAGGATTCTGCCAGTACACGAGGTTGCAACGTGTTGATTTTAATTTCCTGTCATTGTCAATCGCCCTTATAGTCTGTCCAACATGCAAAATTATCTCAGCAAACCAAAGGAGAGATCCTCGAAGAAGGGTGCTACTTCCTCTGCTGAACCCGCACCTGCACTCGCAGCTGGGGTTGTAGCAGCTGGGGTTGTAGCCGCAGCGGTAGCCGCACCCGAAGTGGCACCTGCAGCTGTAGTGGCACCCTCAAGTGATACTGGTTTCAGCACTGTTTGGAACGGTGTTCTGAGCGTGCTGGGTATTGCTCAAGCGAGTCTCGATAGTGTCCCTGTTCCTGGGCTCAAAAGCGCGATTGGCGGTGTCCTTGAAATAGTTCGCCAGTTGGACGTAGGTTCTGTAACTGTTGCGGCGGACGTAACGCTAATAATTGCTCTCACAGTCAGTCGGCGCAAATGTGGATGCGATTCGTCAGCTCGAGCACACTGTGGAATCCTTTAACCAGTC